AACCATCGGAATTAATCCCGAGATATCTATAGAAAGAACCAAGTTGATTTCCAATCAACTTGATCTTCTCGTTGTATATATATAGCCTAATGTTTCCCTCTGAAAAATAAGACAATTCATACCTCTGAAATACAACAGGTTATGAGCCCGGGAGCAACTCTCGGGTGCCGTCTCTACTCATCTGAGAATCATCTTAATCTTTCGTGATTATATCTACCCCGCTTTACATCAATCATCATGTCGGCTCTGGTCCACGACTCGCCCGACCGAGCCGTTACAGCCATTGAGCCTTTGACAGGAAGCGACAACTTCGCAACATGGAAACGTCTCATGACCTCCTACCTCAAGGCAAGGCAGGTCTGGGATGTCGTATCGGGCGATCTTGAGCGTCCTAACTGCTCATTCAAGTACGCCAAGCCCATTACGGCCGACATCCACCCCCTGGTGGAATCGCACCTGGTTGGGGCGGTGAGGCAACGCGCCATCGAAGCGCGCCTCGAAGTGGAGGTCCAGGCATTCGAGCACCACCGTGAATGGTCGCGCCGCGAAGCCGAAGCCTACCACACTATCTTCCGGTACCTGTCCCCCCCACATCAGCATCCATGTCGCGGGGCTCGAGACGTCTCGCGACCTTTGGAATGAACTCGAAGAACGGTACCGGCGGATGGAGCTCGCCACGTTCTGCGAGCTATTTGCCCAGCTCCGCGAGACAACTGGCGAGCGCTGCGGCAGTGCCCGCGAATTTGTCGATCGTGTACGGATGCTAGTGCACCGATTGAATGCGATCGCCCCTGGATCGATCGGCGACAAAGCCCATATTGCGATTCTGCTCACGCAGATCGGACCAGAATACATCCTGATCGTGGATGCGATCCAAAATGATAAGGATCCCGTCAACCCAGCGACTATTGGCAACCGCCTGGCGAATGCCGAGCAGACGGTGCAACGGAAGGACGCTGCGACGTTCCCGCAGAGGGTCCCCAACGGAACGAGCAACCCTTCCATCAACACGGTGCAGAAAAACACCTAGAAATGCAATTACTGCAAGAAGCGCGGTCATGTAGCTGCGGAGTGCTGGAAGAAGCAGCGCGAACAACAGCCGCCCAGGGACCATGCCCTGAAGGCGGAACGGAGTGTTTCCGGCTCACCAAGAAACAATCTACAAAACATACCATCAAGCCAGATGGAAGATCGGCAGGGCCCGCCGACTTCCAAGAGACCGCGGATCAATATCGTGAGGGAGAGGGTGACGACCCTTTATACCCACGCACCGCAACCCCGGTGGATCCTGGACTCGGCCGCCACCAGCCACATCTGCTGGGACCGCAGCTGCTTCAGCAGTCTTCGGCCCCATCGCGAGATGTTGGACACGGCGGGCGATCCAGTGGAAGCCGAAGGGATTGGTACGGTGAAGCTCACGCTCCGGGGGAAGTTCAACCAACCCCTAGTGTTGAAAAATGTATACTTCGCGCCACGCGTCGGGATGAACCTGATCAGTGTGCCGAAGCTGTTGCGAGACCGCTATTCGGTGGTGGCGCACCCGCAGAACGTCTTTGTGCAACGCCGAGGACGGACGGTGGGGACCGCCTACCATACGGAGGAGGATCTACTGATCCTGCGGTGCCATGTGAGCAAGAGATCCCGAGAGCGAGTCCAATTGGCGAGGGCGCCGGCGACTCATGACCATGCAGATTCCCTGGAACCGCAGGCGGTGGCCATGGACGTCGACGACCCTCGAGAGTCAAGTGACGTAGAATGTACAGCGTCAACCTCTGAACTCGGTGGTGAAGCTCGGATACTCGAAGAAGATGCGAGCAAAGGAGTGGACCAGGCCTCCGAAGCGCTGTGGCACGCTCGGATGGGACATCTGAACCGGGGCGACTTGCGGGTGGTCCTCCGGCAGACCGGCACTCCGTACCGACCGCTGACGCAGGCGCAGCTGCAGGCAACGCCGCAGTGCCCGGCGTGCATGTCGGGTAAGCAGCATCAGAAGAGGAACTCCCGTGCACGACGGCCACGTCTGCATTCAACGAGAATTTTCGAATTGATTCATTCGGACATCATGGAAATGCCGATGGCCAAAGATGGCTCCAGGTACGTGATCACCTTTACTGACGATTATTCTCGTGGCTCGTGGGCCTATGCCATGATGTGGAAGCATGAAGCGCTCCAGAAGTTCCAACAGTTTGAGGCCTGGATGCACCGACAGTTCGGCGCCCAGATCAAAAGGTTCCTCACCGACAACGGGAGAGAATATTTGCCCATTGGAACACATCTCGAATCCCAGGGAGTCGAGTTTGACACCTCGCCGCCATACTGCAAAGGGCAGAATGGACTGGCGGAACGCACCAATCGCACTATCCGGGAGCGGATCAACACGCTCCTGTCCGATGCCAACCTTCCTCCTTCCTGGTGGATCGAGCTGGTAGACACTGTGGTCTATCTGAAGCTGCGCGCGCCAGCTTCAATCCTTCAGAAAAAGACCCCGTACGAAATTATTTATGGGAAGCCGCCATCGCTGTTACATCTACGACGGATTGGCTCCCGTGCATGGGTCTTAATTCCAAAAGAGCATCGAGCAAAACTCGGACCGAGATCATCCGAGTGCCGACTATTAGGTTATTGTGAACCGAATCAGTATAAGCTCTATGAAATCCATTCTGGAAAGACGGTCTTTTCCCGTGATGTCGAGTTCGACGAGAGGACCCCGGTGGCGCCACTCGTCGAGGGGGAAACAGGCAACGACCTCCCGGACAACGCTCCTCCATCACCGGTCTTTCCGTCAATGCCGACAAGTTCAGCCAGCGGGCTGCCCACACCACCTGCTTCGCCATTGCCTTCGTCGGCTGAGCCAGAGAAAACGCCATCTGAGCGTGAAGAGGAGACACCTCCAGCAGTCAATCCAAGCCAACAGGGAACTGACCTGACACAGGATCTTGGATATTCGTTGTATGGCCGCAGAAGAAGGCCTTCGCGAAGGTTGCTGGAATCACTCGGCAAGGTGTATACGGCAGGCGCATTGAATACTGCATCTGTGAGCAAAGTCGACCCGTCGACTTTCCACGAGGCCGTGTCGGGCTCAAATCAACAGGAATGGTGGGCAGCCATCCAGAAAGAATATTTGTCTCTTCTAGAACACGGAACATGGGAAAAGGTTCTGCGAACAGACGTACCAGCCGGAGATCATGTGATAGGCTGTAAATGGGTCTTCAAGACTAAAGCCAACGGAACCCGCAAAGCTCGATTGGTCATCAAGGGCTACCGACAGAAACACGGTATCGATTATCATGAAACATTTGCAGCTGTGTCACGAATGGACTCGGTGCGCTGCATTGTCGCTAGCGCAGTGTTGCGCGGATGGAAACTCCACCAATTCGATGCTGTCACTGCATTCCTGCATGGTGACGTTGACTCCTCCATTTACATGGATTTGCCCGAAGGCTTCGAAGAGCCAGGATATGTTTGTCGGCTTCGCCGCTCCCTGTATGGCCTCAAGCAGGCCCCGCGGATTTGGTATCAATGCGTCCACCGCGTCCTGGCCGCCCACGGCTTCACCATGGCCCAATCGGACAACTGTGTATTCTACAAATCCAATTGCGTGGTCTGTGTTTACGTCGATGACTTTCTCATTGCAGCAGCAAGCTCGCATGAGATAGAACAAGTGCAACGAGCATTGCAAGCAGAATTCCAATTGAATGACCTGGGGACGCCACGCTCGTTCCTCGGGATCCAGTTCGACTATCACGTCAATGGGTCCGTATCCATTCACCAACACCAGTACATCCAGAAGGTACTCTCCGACTTTGGCATGGAAACTTGTCAGCCGAAGTCTACGCCGATGAATCCCAAGCAAATTCTGAATCATCGGCCAGAGGAGGAACTTCCAGACGAGGAAGCAAAAGCTCGCTATGCGACCGCCATCGGCTCTTTAATGTATCTGATGGTTGGCACGCGACCGGATGTCGCGTTTGCGCTGGGCACGTTGAGTCGCTTCACGTCTCAGCCGCAAACACACCACCAAGTTGCGCTGCAGCGATTGCTTCGCTATATCCAAGCCACACAGTCTCATCGTATCACTTACCGCAGTGGACAGCTAATCGGATATACGGACGCTGACTTTGGGGGCTCCGTCGTCACTGACGGAGCATACTCCACATCTGGCTATGTGTTCCAACTTGCAGGCGCACCGGTTTCCTGGCCGTCCAAGAGACAGGGGAAGTAGCCACGTCTACAACACATGCCGAATACATTGGACAGTACAACGCTATTCTGCATCTGCAGTGGCTCCGCACCTTTCTGGCTGAAACGCAACTGTATCGGTCTCCGGTCACTAACATCATGGCTGACAACCAGTCCGCCATTGCTCTCTCTCGCAATCCCGAGTTCCATAAACGGACGAAGCACTTCAATGTGAAATTTCACTATCAGCGAGCCGTGCTGGATGCAGGCGAGATTGAATTCCAATATATTCCAACTGGGGAACAGGCTGCGGACGGCCTCACCAAGCCATTGGGACCTATGGCATTTGCCAAGTTTGGTAGTCTCTTAGGCGTCAATGCTCCAGGGATCTCGAGACAAACCGCGTGACAGCGCAGGCGCTCTTTCCACTTTATTTTCCCAGCGTGGATTTTGAGTGGTTTTACTGAGGCCTGACTGCTCTGCGCGATTCCAGTATCGCCCTGCCAGCAAAGCGATCCTGAGGGGGAATGTTGTGATATGAGGCTGGTGCAGATCAGGAACCAAGCCGAACCATCGGAATTAATCCCGAAGTATGTATACGAAGAACCAAGTTGATTGGAAATCAACTTGATCTTCTCGCTGTATATATAGCCTCATGTTTCCCACTAGAATGATAAGACAAGTCATACCTCTGAACTACAACAATACCTGCTCCTCAGGTTCATCTCTTCGAGTCCCGCGGAGCACCAAAAGATGGACTACCCACCACAGGTGATGTGGTGAGTGGTTATGATCACCGGTCTTCATGCTTGCCTATAGTCCGCGACAAATATACCGAGTACCTACTTTCTCTAGTTCCTTCGATCGCTTGTTCAGAGCAGACAGCACTCGACAACTTAAACAATTCTAAAGAGGATGTGGCCGCCACTCGTCTTCTATTTCAAGGTGACAATCACCTGGAAGCTATCGACCCCAACAACTTAAGTATCGGATGGAAAGTCTGGATGAGCTTGATGAATTTCCTCCTAAAACCCGAAAAGAGCCTTGATAGAAAAGTAATCTGTGATTGCTTTAAGGTAAAATTCTTTTCCAGCACATTCTGGATTACCTGGTCTTCTACGTTGGTCTCCCATCGAAAGATTTCAAAATAATTGCTAATATTGGCGAACATAAAAGATTTGGTTTCTGCCCCTGGTCTAGCGCTATTGAATTCCGTCGATGCTTGCAGAGATTCTTTCGCAATCGACGACGTCATAATAAATCAAGTCCTCCTGATCGTTTTATTTGCGACCCGCAAGAAGATATTATTTTGCCAGTAACCCGTTTGCTTCAGAAAGAAGGAGTTGATATTCACTTCGACGTCACAGTCACTGACATAGTCATGGATCAAGAGCAAGGTTACCGGAGAATATCAGCTTTCAAATGGATCAAAGACGAAACAGAAACTATTGTGACTGTTGGCAAACACAACATTGTTATTGCAACCCTTGGGTCCTCTGTATCCGGGTCAACCAGCGGTACCAATACAAAGCCACCCTGGTTGGAATTACTGAAAGCAGAGGACAGATTGGATGAAAATTGGTCGCTCTGGCTAGCATTCGGTTCAACTTTAGGCGATCCGTACAATTTTTGTACGCGAGTGGATGAATCTCGAGTGGAAACCTTCACAACTACGTTTCAAAGCACTGAATGCTTGGACCATTTGATCAAATCAGTGAAGGCTGAGGTTGGTTCAAGAAATTTAATCGTCCTTCAAAAAAGCAATTGGGCCATCAACCTGCTTATCCCATGCCAACCGCTTTTCTCCCATCAATCCAGAGATGTGAGCGTGATTTGGGGCTATTGTTCAACCCCTAATAATTTAGGAAATTACGTGAAGAAAGCAATGCTGAGTTGCTCTGGGCAAGAGATTTTGGTTGAATTAGCCGAGCATCTCAAAATACCCCGAGAGTTCATGTTGAATAATTCGATTAATATCCCGCGTGTGATGCCTCGCTTAGCAGCACCCTTGTTGACTCGGGCTTCTGGAGATCGTCCAAAGGTAATACCAGAGAAAATAACCAATTTGGCAGTCGTTGGCCAGTTTGTCGAAATACCAGATGAGACTTGTGCGACTGTGGACTACAGCGTCTGCGGAGCCCACACCGCGGTGAATCGGTTGGTTGGACTTCGAGAAGCGTAAAGAGGGTTTAAAAGTGTTTCTTATCTGCTACTGATTTTTCTCTTCGTTATGAAAAAATTATTTTGTCACTGTGAACTCTTGGTTTTCTAAATGTATGGTTGCTGTGTCATTAAATTCCCCCCCAAGTGTGGTATAATGCAGAATAAACCGGTCTGCGAGATCGAGGACTGTCATAGCCGATAATACGTAAGGTGCACTGAAGCTGCTCGTCCACAGCCTTATGGCCATCGTGATCGTTAAATTGGCTTAAATTTATACGAAGTACACGAATCATTTTCTTTGTGGGGTCGAGAGGATATTTGGTGTAAACCGGATGAGAAGCCATTAGAGAAATCTCTCTAAGTCACTATATTGTTAGGTTAAGGAACTTGCCAGGCTTGGGCGGAGACCTAGGCCTGATTCAGCCTTGTTGCTGCCTGAAGTATCCGATATCTAATGATTATGTACGTTAGTCGTGTCAATAAAAGTGGAGAAGATTATTACTAGCGTTTAGAGATATGTTAGGTGGCTAGCCCAAAAATAGAGCCCTGCCCTCTTGACCTAATGCAGTCTTCCCAAGCTAGCCGATTCGGTCGCCGAGGCAAAGCAAACTGCGAAATTCTAGACACTCTGGTAACGGTACTAGAGTCATCTGTCCCGTTACCAGGAACACTCTCTTTATCCCCAGGAGCTACGATCGCTCTACGAGCGGCGATGTAGCTCCTGGGATCAAAGCATGCCTGTGAGCTCCACAGGGCCACGGAGGCAACCGAACTGGCCAGTTGTTCCTCATTAAAGTGTGCTGCATCCCAGGTCCGATTTGCCTGCTACTTAGCTCTGCAAGCATGGACTCGAGAAAATGCCTCCCTATAAAAGCATGGGGCTTACATGGGCAGGCCAATTATGGCGCTGCCAATACCTTCATGGACGCGTTTGTGCAGTATTGTCATCGACCTCATTTGCCTGCGTCTATCGTTGGCCTTGGTGAATTTGACGGAATAGGTCATTTCGCCGAGAATCCACAGATTCTGGAGCGTGTAAGTCTGCTGAATCATACGTTCATGTGTCAGAAGGAGGTATTCGACATGATCACTCTCATAATATTGGAGGGCCTGCCGCTCCAGGACCCAACCAATTGTTGCTACAGAAATTCGTCTCAGATAGCTACGGGGCTCAGTAATACCCTTAATGCTCCGTGTTGTGATATGAGGCTTGCGCAGGTCAGGAACAAAGCCGCAACATCGGAAATAATCCCGGGTTGCCTATACGAAGAATCAAGTTGATCTTCTCGTTGTATATATATCCTCGTGTATCCCCTCAAGAATAAACAGCTTAATTAATTCCTCTGAACTAGAACACTCCGGACATATGCAAGGGCAGCGCCTTCTTTTTCGATGGCCGCCTATCTGTCTATGCTGCTGAATTTAAAGCTAAGCAGATCGGGTATTTCGTCTTAGATTTCCTGATGAAACCTGTTGATAATGACTCGGAAATCGATGTTTCGTGTTCTTTGAACGACATTGGTCTTGGTAGTCTAGCTGCTTCTGAATTGCGCTCCTGGTGGAAAGCCACTCTAGGACTCGACATAAGTCTCCTCGATATTATGGCAAGTGGGACCCTTTTACCACTTGGCCTAAAAGCACTCCAGGGACTCAAGAGCAAATTGAAAAAAGAGGTATAGCATACAGTAGTGCAATGGCTACAGTGGTTGGTTGATTTCATTTACCCTGACCCCTCGCAATTTGAAAGTTGATTATAAACCTCATCCACCAGGCTGAGAACATATTCGTTTTTGGTCGAGTAGTAAAGTATACATTGAAAGCGATATGCAAGATACAACAACTATATGCTCCAGGAGGAACTCAAGACTTTGCGAGCGCAAATCGAAGCTGCTCCCCCGACGACTTAGTAGAGAGCGACCGACATACCCTGCCAGCTGGAGCGTATACGAGGGCTCTCTGCAAGATACGGTCGGCCTAGCGGAGGGAGATCTCCCTAGGTAACGTGAAATGAGAGCGTGATGTACAATGGCAGCCACTGTGGCAGGGCTGAGTCCTGCCAAGAGACTGTCTGTATTGCCCGAGAGGACGGATGCGCGTGTCGGTGAACAAAGAGACGGAATTGAACTATCTCACTCGCACTGGGGGCCTGAGACTGAACTTGGTCGGTGAAGCGGTGTAGTCCTAATTGGCCTGCCCGTGATGTATGCTTAAGGAGCAAACTAAGAGACACCCAGGGTGAGAGGTGTGGTGAACCTCGAGAGTCCAGAAGCCTCATCATTGGGTGAAAACTGGGGTAGTGGTCTATGCAAGTAGGCCTGTCAAAGCTACTTAATGTCTTTTGGTCAGGAGATACCACCGTTCGCCGTTGTATCAAATAGCAGACGTGCTGAAGAATATCAGGATGGAAACACTGGAGACCATTAACCATTTACATTAGCTCCATGGAAGGAACGCGTGCAGGCCAATATTCATGAAATCCCAGCGACACGGACCGAAGCAGGCGGATCCATGCAGATCGCGGTCAGCAGTTCGGCACGGAACGAGTTGGTAGGATTTGGAGTGGCGATCGAAAAGCAGCCTCCTCGTTTTCGAAAACTGAAACTGAAGACCTTCTGGGCGCAAGAGTAGAGCAGAATCCATACTCGGGGGAGCTGGCAGCGATGGCACATGCATTGAGCACGCTACCAGGACTGAAACACTACAGAATCATGCTGCTCACGAGCAACAAAGCGGCGGCACTCACGCTGAGGAACCCTCGACAACAGTCAGGCCGAGAACACATCTGCCAAATATACAAGTTAATTAGGAGACTACGAAGACACGGAAACCAAATCAACATCCTTTGGATCCCTGCCAGCGAAGACAACCAACTGTTGGACCTAGCGAAGGAGGAGGCCAGGGCTGCGACGCAAGAGGATGCTACCCCTCAAGCACAGGTCCCCAGAATGAAGTAAACAACACTGAATATCGCACGGTCCCAAGCAGCCACCAGCAAATGCTTGCCGGAGAACGTAGGAAGACACGCCAAACGACTGGATGCAGCACTCCCAGGGAAACACACCCGGCAGCTGTACGATCGATTATTGTGGAAAGAAGCGAGCGTGCTGGCCCAGCTCCGGACTGGCATGGTTAGATTGAATGGATATCTCTATCGAATCAACGTCGCGGAGACGGACCAGTGCGCTTGTACGAGTGAGAATGGATGACTAATAATCCAAAAGAACAGACCGGGTTGCTCGAACTTTCACCGATCGATGGGGTGTTGGTCGAACTTCATCGTTCTCAGTCTCAGGTAAAGTCACGACGGGCTGCACGAGAGATCTTGCTGCTCCCGTCGGCCGACGAGCGGCTCGTTGAGGCGGCACTGCTGGATTTCTCGAATTTGTTGCTACTTTGGGCATGATGAAGGGCAGGGCGAGGTAGTCTGATCAAAGACGAAAATTTTGCCAGAAAGCTGTCCTAGGGGCGAAAATGGGTAATTTATCTACTAGCCTTGAAGAGATCGTCACACGGACTGCAAAACGTTGATCATTCCTTCCATGATCTTTACACCCTTTTGCACACCCTGAATAAAGAGAAATCCAGTCATACTAGTAATCTCAAGTTTACCTGGATCTCCTGTTACATTCGCAGCGTAATTTTCACATTGCTTGGGAGACACACTCTTTTTGGCTGGCTAGACTTGTATTTTTCCAAATCCATGGGGAGATCATGACACATGTAGTGGCTGTCACTATCCCTGATGCAACAGTGGACTGCCCACCTAAGGCTGGAATTGTAGGTCGTTGAGTGGGTCAGCATTACAGTACAAGTCGGAAATTGGCTTCGTTCCTTACGACCCAGGATCTTCCTTCGCTGTCCTATGGTCTCATCTTCTTCCAGCAAAATGAAACATCAACATTTACACGCTCTGTCACTTCTGTTTGGACAGTAAAGAACGCTACTCTGACGAGGGACAGATGAATGCAATTAACATTATATGCTCAAGGGTGTACCGTGTACTGGAGACCGCGACTTCCCTGGATTCATCGCTCTCGCATAATTGGCGCAGGTTTGAGAATAAAATCGTCATTCAATTCGGCATATCCTAATCTGTATTTTTATTGTTGTTTCCTTCGCAAAAACTAAGCACGCATGGAGCAATGCGAGTCTCATAACATTCTGAAGCCAATTTGGATTGAAAGTTGCAGAACGCAAAACTAATGGACGTAAATGTCCCTATGATCCGACTTGATCGCGTCGGCACCCTTCTCCGCACACATGTAGACAGAGTTCTGAATGCGACAGTCTGGAATGACCGGAATAACAGAGGCATCTGCAACGCGGAGGTTCTTGATTCCATGAACCTTGAGTCCAGGATCCACAACACCTTGGTCAATATTCTTCGAAAGACGGGCGGTACCACATGGGTGGAATGAGGTTTGCGACCGATCCAACACAGTTCTTTTCATCAACTCATCATCATCGAGTGGCATCTCCCATGGATATTCATCTAGTACAATATCCTTAAAGCCGTCACCATGCTTCAAGATATCATAGCTGTACCTAATACCCTCTCGGATAGCGATGACATCAAGGTCATTATTGAAATAATTCAAATTGATATTTGCTTGTTGAAGAGGGTCGGCACTGTTGAGCGTGACTTCGCCCGGATCAGAGACAGGGCGAACGAGATCGACCATCACAGTCATGTAGCTACCTTTCTTGGGAGTGCGGTAGTGCCACTGGAACGCACTTCCGAACAGGCAAACAAAGTCGAGCTCAAAGTGCGGCTGGCCAAAAGGGGAGAAAGGATCTTTACCACCATTTGCGGCCTTTGCTGTTTTGTACTCTGGCACTTTCTCCAGGTAGTCGTCAATTCTCGGGAAACCCACCATTTCAAGGAATCCAGAGCCCATTGGCCCACCATGGTTCTTCTTGTACTTTGCAACTGCTTCGTCATGTTGAGGACCTTTACGAAGGACGTGTCCATCCATACCATACTCGTCCTTCACTCTAAGGACGTATGGTACACCGGGATGGTCTAGTAAGTGCTGACCAACATGAGGAGAATCAACAATAGTGGAGATTCCATGCTTGCTCAATTCCTCTTTGGGGCCGATCCCGCTAAGCATCAGAAGCTTGGGGGTTTCAAATACTCCTTCTGAGACGATGACCTCGCGGGTAGCGTAGAAGCTTAGCTCATCCCCAGAAGGCATGATCACAGTCACTCCTTTGCAAGAACGGTCCGCTTTGTCGATAAGAAGACTTTTAGAGTGAGCTTCGGCGAGTAGAGTAATATTGGGCTTGTTTTGGAGTGCTAAGAAGCTTCCAGATCGCTGACCCTTGTAAATTGTGTTGACGCTATGGGTCAAGCCCTTTAATTCACCGTCGAAGACATTCTCGGTAATCGGATGGCCTGTCGACTTCCACGCTCTCGTGAGTAAATCACGAAATGGCTGCATCTCTGGGATAAGTTCAGAGTGTGCAATTGGAATAGGTCCCCCAAGGCCAATTTTCGTAAGTTCCTTAGGATATTTCTTTTCATCGTCGTGGTATGTAGCACTCTTCCGAAGATAATGAACCAGATGATCCCACGTCCACTCGTTCCCTCCGTAATCCCCCCCACATGTCGAATGTGGGCTTACAGCCCGGAACCCAGGTAAAATAGTTGAGCGACGAGCTACCGCCGAGGGCTTTTCCGCGTGTGTTAGGTTTTTCCACACGCTCATAGTCATCACGCTTTACCATTGTCGTTTTGTAAGACCAGTCGTACTTGCTGTTTCGTAGGTTCATTGCTTCAGCGGGCGTGGTAATCTCATCAATGGCATGAGAGTTTTCTACGCCAGCTTCAAGAACCAAGACGGTGACGTTCGGGTTTTCTGCAAGCCGGCTTGCTACGATATTGCCAGCGGTACCACCGCCGACGACGACAAAGTCGAAGCGAGAGCCGTCTTTGGGAAGAACCATGTTTAATGCAACCGTCTCTGACCTGATTTGTATTTTGTATTAAATATGACAAGAGATGTGATCTTGAAAGTTGGGAAGCAAGTCGACCTTCCTCGGTCTATTATAGATAAATTGAAACTCTACTCAACTGATCCTTATGAGCATATCATCAAAGTATCGTAACAAGTGACGTCCTAGACTTGACAAGAATGACGAAAATGCTGAGACTCTTCCATTATTTCTTTTCCCGGGAGGTTCCGGATGTTGGGCCAGTTCAAACCCAATTTTCGCCATCGTGTTCACGAATGGTCAAAGCTAATCAGCGTTTCACTGGTTCTACCAGTCGCCAAGATGGAAGATATATGACTAAGCAGTCAATGGAACCGGGGAAAGTATCCGGTGTACTTGTTGCGAAGATGAATGATCTAGACTGGGTTTGAAGCGAATTTTGGCTTGTTCAATGGGAGACATCGGTTAAGGTCGCCATTGATTGGACAAGGTTAGAGCAAAAGCCAAGCGGCATCTCGCCTTCCAAGGCTTCGGGCTAGAGTTTCACTGTGGATCTAGTGCGATCAAAGGCACAGAGAAATTTCTCGATCGGGTTCAACAAAAGACAAACTCAAGGACAAATGATCGGTGCTATAAATTGCATAGTAAGACATCCTGCCCCATCTTGAGTTTCGCGATTTTGCATAATGCTTCTCGGACATTATTACTTGATTAATTACTCTCTTGATATTCATGGACCGAGACATCCAAACCATGCCACTCAGTCTCTGAGAGCCATGGTTCCCGATTTTACATGTGACAGGTGATGATAGGGCAAGATCCGCCGTGTCTTCCTCAACGAAGTCCAGATTGGATGTAGTTACAGGACTGCGTACATTTTGTGTAGAATAGAAGATGAGAAAGAATGACTAACCGAATTAAATAATTATCAATTGTCCGTTAACGAGGCGGTCATTATTTTTATCATTTCTCATTGATCAGATCAACTCCGAACCCCGATTAATCAACCCAAGCCTTTCAATCTTATTGATTCCAGAAACCTAATTATTTCAGCATTCCCTTTTAGAACTAGCTAGTAGAAACTCGCTTTGTCGTGTAGAATGAATGTGTGTATCAGCCCCATCGAGGTCTACGCAACCTGGATCGCTGCTTCTGTGCGCTGCTGCAACTTAGAACCGAGGCCCTTGTTGACACGTCCGAAGAGGCCTAGGCTCGGTGTTAGCCCCATTTTCTTAGTAGACGGATTCGTCGAAAATACTCGTTCTATGGCTACAGGGAAAACTTACTATAGACAGGTTTCCGCAATCCTGGGTACTTAACACTCTTGATATTGCCGACGAGGTTCTCAATGACCCTATCCTGGTGACCAGGCTGGCAGCCAATAACCTCCCACAATGCTGCGGGCTGAACGAAATCATCGTTGGTGATCTCGCTGGTGTAGGAGGATACCTCTCCCGCCCACTTTTCGTGTCCGGTGTGTAAAGCCAGCGCAGAAGCGCTAATTCCCTTCTCGTCTTGGTAGAACTTGGTGGGTTTGATCGAGGAGCCAACATAGTTGGGGTCGCCATCGTAGTTATCGTCAAACCGCATAGCTCCGTCACGCTGGAAGGGACAGTAGACTTGCACATTCGCGGCGTTGGTGGGGAGTTGCTGGTAGTTGACACCGAGGCGGTAGCGAGCTGCATCAGAGTATGCGAAGAGTCGTGCTTGTAGCACTCGAGGAAAGTTAGTCATTGCGAACCATAAGACTGATAAATGCACGGATTTCCGGCTTACCTGGATCAGCAGACGCAGCGATTCCGGGAATCATTGTGGAGGGCGGGAACGCGGCTTGCTCGATATCGGCGAAGTAGTTTTGTGGCTGTTCCAATTCAGCAACTCAAAAACAAGATCAAAGAGCAATGAAAACTTACATTTTGATTCATAGTAAGACGACCAATCTGCTGCAGAGGAAAATCCTTCTGCGACTAAACCTTAGTCATGTCGAAAATATTCCACTTGTACTTCTCGGCCTCTTCGGGACTCATCAGTTGGACATAGACGTTCCAGACAGGATAGTCGCCCCTTTCAATGGCCTCGAACATGTCACGGATCATAAAATCAGGGTCCTCCCCGGCGATCTTGGTAGCATCTTGAGAGGAGAGGTTCTCAATTCCCTGCTGCGTTTTAACGTGGAATTTGGCGTATTTGAACGAGCCGTCCTATGCATAACATAAGTCGAAGTTCCAACGGGTAGTGACGGTCGTCACCTACAGGTTTAGTAAATTTGTAAGTGTGTCCGCTATAAGAGTTCATGTAGCGGACCGATTTGGGCGTGCCACGGTCGCTGAACAGAACCAGAAGTTGGTGGATACCCTCAGGATTGCCGACGTGAAAACTAAATAATTAGCCTGATCCAACAACTAGACCTTGAGGAATCACATACTCCCAGAACTGCCATACCGATTAGTTTTCAAACATACTATCGGCAGTGAAAATAATTGAACTTACCATGTTTGGGTTGGGGAGGTGGGTCCGAGGATGTCGCTTGTGAGAGCGGTTCATAGACGGGAATTTGATCGGATCACGGATGAAGAAGACAGGCTGAACCAACAGATATCAGAAATGAATAAAAAAAGGAGAATCAAGTCTTTCAAACGGAACAGATGTCATACCGTATTGTTAAAAACAAAATCTTGGTTTCCCTCGTCGGTATAAAACTTCATCGCCCATCCGTGCACATCGCGGGAGGTATCGGCAGATCCGGACTCGGGCCCAACGGTTGACACCCGCTGAAGCACGGGTGTCTTCTTTCCGACCGTTCTGAGGAATTTGGCGCTGGAGAAGTCAGATCAATCGCGTGTGGCTTCGAATTCTCCAAATGATCTTCAATTGTCAATTCGAAATTCACCGTATAGCGGGACATGACGACTTACCCGACAGCCTTAGCGTGAACGACGCTATTCAAGATCTCCAGTCAGTGTGAAGTAGATAATTGGAACTCTTGTAACTCAAGAGCCGGCTGAGAGAAAACTAACCGCTCTGGAATTCTCTCCCGGGAGAAGTGAGCAAGGGTTTCGATGAGCTGGGTGTCTTGAAGTAATCCGAGGCTGCCACCCTGTCTACCCTGCATCAGGACAGCTGTGCTGCTATTCGCGAAGGGACAGCCTGCAAAAGTCAGTCTAAAGTACAAATCACAGGTAATAAAGAAAGGGCGTACCCTCGGCCAGAGTGTAGTATCTATCGTCGCCCATGCCGAATGATGATTTGGTTAATGATGAAGGATCAGTTAAGAGAGAAAATGGGCGTGATATAAAGTTAGAGCTCATGTGAAAACTGCAGCTCATATATTCTCCAGTTTGGAAACAGTAATGTGCTGCCTGCTTTCAGATGGCACATGCATCGGGCCATAGTAATACGATTACACTCATTGGAGCTCAGCGTTCCACCCCTAAAAGGCTACCAAGCATAACCCTGCATCATCTTAATCAGCGTCATGACGATGCGTTGATACCATGCATGGGCTGTTGCAAGGTTGCTCGTGGCAAGAATAATGACAGCATCAAGGCTGCAAGAAGACACCGCCCCACTCGGAATGAGGCTCTCTGATTGGGCAAAATTTCTGAAGAGCAGAGAGCCACAAACAGATAGACTCCACACCGAGATTCAAAATGCAGTCCCGGGCGTTGGGAATAGGCAGTGGCAACGCATGGGGCAACTTACAAGACATGGGCTGGCTCATGGTAAAACAATTGGTTTCCTATACAGAGAGTCGTCAGCACAGGCTAACTTAACTACTCTCGAAATCGCCATAGTGATCGAAACTTACTGTGCCAGCTACTGCTGCGCGCGGCATTCTAGTTTGGTCAAGTCGGCTTGGTAGTGGATGGTTTCGATCTATGATAAACCATCAGTAGGTAGCTTATGGCGGCCCTTCATAACTCACAATCTTCGCAGCCTGGGTTTATTATCGAGACCATTCCAGGTCTGTTGATTGAATTCCCAGAGGAACAGAGACGGAGCTGACATTAAACATCTTCCACGTTAGCATGGTCTCGAATTATCGGGCAACTAAACTTACCTGCCGTTTACAGATCTCAGTGTCGAAAATAGACATACTAGGGGCGATACAACAGGTCAGTACGATCACAAGTGCATGATAGTTCGGGGTCGGGCTAGTACATACGGGAGGAGAGCAGCTGGCGAAATCGAGAAGTGCTCGATATTCTTTGCCCGAGGATGATAAAGGAATGTTTGAGAACGACCGTTCTGCTGGCGAGAGTTCGGGTACTTATAGCATTGCATCCAACCCTTACTCTCGAGTCGATGTAATAATCCTTGCGAATTGTGAGGGTCTCAACACCGCTGACCCTCAGATTTCAGCTAGTTCAAAAGTTCCACATTGATACTACGCTGTATTCGGAGGCGTTGTGGCTGTTTCTTGATGATTGAGAATATGAAAAACCCTTCCTCACTGTTGGCACCGTTTCAACACTCCCGGCGGTCCGCAGAAAAGCGCCGACGACGTGTTTCAACATCCATCAACATGGGTCCGTATCTTATTGCGACAGGAGGTGGCATATCAGCGGCCACCTCATTCAATTCTATTCACTGATCATGAACACTTATTTCGCTGATCAAACGCTGAATGTTGTTAACGTCGTCGCCGTCGTCCTTTTTTCGGGTTTCTGCGCGAGATCGAGGTCTGAGTTGCATGTATGTGAATAACTATGCGCAGCGACGTATCTGCCCATTTTGACAGCTTCTTTTTTTTTCTTCTCTGATTTTCTGCTATCGCTACTGAGCAAAATTTTCTGCTATCCGGACTCATTTCTAATGTTGCTATCTGTGTCTTCAAGATCCGCAAAATACCTGCTTCGCTCAGTTATATTTCTGAGCGATAGAGGAGGGCCCCAATTTTACTACCATCCGATGATGATATTATACATAGCACTTTGGCAGCCCGGTCGAGCCATTGTCGAAGGAAATATCTCACGATCTGGAAACTGGTTTCGGGGCTACTTTGGACGCGAAGATGTGCTCGTATCCCGCGAAATAATCATACGGGGATCTCGGATCGAATTTGGAGTGTTGACTAGAGCTTAGTGGAAGCCTTGAGTCTAGTAGTTGAGATAAGACTATTGTAGAGTGCAAACCGATACTCTTCTATATAAAGCGCCTGTCTAGTCTCGAAGAAATATGGGTAATCTGTCATGGCCAAATGTGGCCCTTATTGATACTGTGGGTTTTCAAGACTAAGAGCATCTCAAGACGGTAATCTCAGAAAGAGAACCCTCTTAAAACAAGGCTCTCATTCCAGTCCTTCTCTCAGGTACGAATCATTCATATGAAGATTGATCAGTTCCACGCCCACGACTGCCAAGGTTGCTTCATACTCTCACTGCCCCAGTTATAACTTGGGAAGCCATGGAAACCAGCTGTTTCTCCTTGTCAAGCGTTTCTTCGGCCGCGAGCTTCTTCTTTCCGTGCGCGGAAATCAAGAAAATTGCATCGCTGCCATCGCCTGTGGCCGTACGGTAACAGTGGTCTGGACAGAGGCTGTGTAGGCTCACATCGTAGGGTGCATAGTTTTTGCATGAGTACTTTCGCGCGACCCGTTCCACGGGTGAAGGATCCTACCGGTCTATGAGGAGACAGTCTGATAGATTCCACTCACCTCATTCGAGTGACCAGAACTTGACTTCAACGTACTGTTCGAGTAGTCGGCCTGGCACATCCTGCATTGGAGGCTGGGGATTGTTGGTTAGACCACTCTGTGTCGGTATGTGGTCGGTGTCTCTGTGCATTGCTTGCGCTGGATGGTCACCAGAAGCTGGCAGTGACCAAATTTGTATATTTTCTGGTCGATACAATTCCTCGGGCGGAGGCCGATGATGAAGCAGATTGAGCTCTTAGTTGAGCCGCTCGCTCTCCATCCGTTTTTCCAACCGCTCTTGCTCTGCCTGGGCGCTCCTCAGGCCATCAAGGAAAGCATCTAGTCCTTCAGACCTAGAGGGACTGCATCCCTTTGACAAGCTGCCCGTCCCTGAAGAAGATAGCCGCTGTGCTGTAGAATCGATCTGTGTCTGAACACCGATTCCGAGTGCTAGGAGATTTGGGTACAATCGCTCATAAGATCTACAAGTTCTGGAGCAGAGCTAGGGAAGGACAAGAGGGTGCCGTTTCTATTATTGGTTCGCTCTGTGGCTCGCTGGGGACTGGAGTCTGCCTGGCCGAATGGTGAAAACAGCTCGGGAAATAGGCAACACGCCCCTGAAGCACCATGAGCCATTTTTGGGATCAAAGTCATAGGCGCTAGAAGCAATCTCAATGCCAGAATCAGGGCATGGGCTCCCATCGACGACAAGACCATAAACGGAAGAGGCTTCCACCCAAAGGAGTAAGGGTTGCCCAGTATACCTGGTCAATACCCTGGGGAATAGGCGCAGCTCTTACATTCGAGACGACTTTTTCCACAATTCGTCAGTTCAGCACAACGAACCCTCAGGCCAGCTTCTTAATTCTTGATGGCTGTAACAGCAACCGTGAGTCAACGTTGAGATATGAACACCAGAGAGTTTATCGCTGGTGACGAATCTGCAAACCTACCCCACCGTATTCAGGGCTGAAAGTTTGGCGATCAATGACATCTGACCACGAAGGAATCGCTTCATTCAATGCAAGTTCACTCATGAAGTTGAACACGGATGTCGGCAGGCCTCAATTTCAGAACGCACATCACAAATATCCATCACCGCTCACCACTTCCCAATAGATGTTCGCAAAGCCAGAAACCATGAGTCTATAAATGCCCTCTCCCGTCGTAGCCTTTGACAGCAGGACAGTGGCACAGTTGCATTCATCGAATAGGTCTGTCCCTCTCTTCTATCTCGTCTGTTCCAGGGCTTTTACTGTCTTACATGAGCAGGGCAGTTACCATGCGTTTGCCGGCTCCCGATCTTTTCTCGTGCATGTACCTGTCTGACAATCTTCTACCGATATGATTCCTCTTCGTCCTTGGTTGATTGAGTTGACCTGTGATCTCCATTTTTACTCCCATGGCCTGAAGTCCAAATTTAAGTAACAGGTATGTGCTTCGACTGCCTGACCTATTCTACCCTGTGCTGATATTGGGGTCTCGTCAAATCTAGGTCGGGCTACAATACACATATTTTGAACGCAATGTGCCCACCAAACTCATCTGCTGGACCACAATCAAGCTTCAGGCCGACGCACTTTCTTGGCTAACAGAGGATGTGAGTCATGGAAAGCCCTTCCGGTCGCCAAAAAAATTGTCAGCGGATTGTTCTTTGCGCTCCAGGGTATTTCGCCAGAGACAAGCATATTGACGTGAGTCGCAAGCCTTATAGAAAAGACGAACTCTGACAATTTCCAGATGGCTAAGGGCGAGATTGTGTACAACTGTTCCCGGAACCCAGTCTCATGAGTGACTACTTTCAACCAAACCAAGACAAGTCGGAGGTACTGAGATGACACTCCTACATCCTCCCTGACCTCATGCCAGTCGTGCTGCATCGCGTGTCATTGACTCTCATTGCCTCTAGCTCAGGGCCAATGTCCTGCTTCCCGATCACAGCTTCATGCTAGCCCAATGCATATTACATCCTCTGTCTGAGCCGCGTTTCCAATCGACGTCACGATTCGAACCGAGCACACCATACACCTGCAACTCGCTATGCGCTAGGGAGGTTCTACGTCGCTAGCAGTCCAGTCCTGTCATTCCGGGCGAACTTCAGTGTCCCGGTTGTCTCTTCAAGTACCCCAAGACCCCTCCAGCTGACACCAACCTATTCGTGCGGTCGCACCTTCATGGTTTAGGGAGGCAGCGAGCCATCGATGCTATTCTCGAAGTTGAAGACAAGGGTTCGAGCGTTTCGTGAATGGTCGCGTCGCGAGGCGGAGTCCTACCGCGCCATCTTCCGATACCTGCACCTCACATCAATATGCATGTCGTGGGATTAGAGAAGTCCTGTGACCTCTGGAATGAACTGGAAGAGCGGTACCAGTACATGGAACGAGCGAACAGTTCGCAAAACGGACAGTCCTGTGGATAGGCGGTGTGATAGGCGGTAAAAATGCGGTGGGTCCCAACCCTTTTTTTGCGTCACTGCCTCTTTGACAAATTATAAATCTCATTTGACACACCATCACGACAGGAGCCTAATAACCCACAGGATGAACAACAGCGATAATGAGGATTCCCATATCGATGAAGAAATCCACCAATTCACCCAGAATCTGGAAAGGGTGCGCAAGCGCAGACGGCTCACAGAGTTGCAGGCACAGATCGCGGAGGAGAGGAGATGGCTGCAAGAAGCGCAGGAACGCCTTGACAACGCTCGACAAAGCGTGGGCTCCGACGCTTCTGGCTCAGCCAGTGGTCAATCACTGGGATTTCCTAAATCGCTTGTCGTTCCAAAACCACCTGTCATCTCGAAATCGCCAGCGTTCTCTGTTGCTCCCGGCCAAGATACGAGCAGCGCTGTGGATGCTTTGATGGAATCTGTTCTGAATCATTCCGGTGAAAATACGGCACTGGGCAATAGCAACACGTTTGAAAATAGCCAAACATTTGCTCATAACAAAGGACTTCCCAATGGTCAAGCGCCTATAAATTACGAACGCGTTCAACTAGGGGCTGATCTTCCAGCAGCTCACCATCCTTATATCCCAGACCCTGAGACTGCGACTTCTCCCCCTATCCAAACGCGGATAGCCGATGGGGAAGTGAAACAGGAGTCATCAGCTCCAGCGATATGGAGCAACGACGCCGCCCCTGGATTTGTCCCATTGGAACACCTTTTCTACGGAGGCCCGTATGAAGGGGAGAACAATAAAGAAATGAAGCATCTTTCCTCGGAAATCGGACGTAAACCCAAGACAACAGATGCAATTCCTTCTCAACTAGGGACAGGTACCCAACCCGCTCTGCCGTGGACACCCATCCAATCTACACCTGGGCGTCGAGTCCTAGCTTCTCCGCCAAGTCCACCGGCTCTTGAATTCGGAACCTACAGAGGGAAAAGATGGGCTGAGTGCGTACATTACATCAATACCATGGAAGCTCACTTCTCCCGGTACCCTAATTACTACACCGAGACTCGTAAAGTGGAGCTCGGGGCAAAATACATCTCGCCCGCGCTGATGGACAAGTGGCACGATCACATAATGTCGTCAGAAAACGCGTCATGGATGTCATACTGTACCTTCCTGGCTCAGCAGCTCTCACGAAACGCAGACCACAGGCAAGCCCTTAAGGGAATTGCAAGCGCCTCCCAGAAAATTGCCCAACCTGTGACTCATTTTGCTCTCTGGCTAATCCAGTGGGAGCCTGTCGCTCCCGACGTTAGCAACAGTGAATTTAGGGCCTACTTGCTGAGAGGAGTCCTCCCCGATATTCGCGCTCGTGCGAAAAAGTCGTACATGGAGTTTTTGGATTATAATTCATTTGCTATGTATTTGCAGGAAATCGAACACTCCACTCCATCCCGAGCGAAATTTTTCGCAAAACGGAATAATAGTACCGTCTCAAGTGACGGGCTTTTCGTCCCGATGAATACGAATGAAGCTGAGCGGAAACACAAGGAAATTTTGCCGTCAGACCTGCCTACCGAGCCGCGTAGTCAATTTATACGTCAAAAATCAACAGAAGTGCCGGCTCCTCGGGACCTCGGACTCTACTCGGCACGCAGCTGGTGGGAATGCAAAACTTTCATGTCCAAATTGCAAGATTACTTCGACAAGTGCGGAAACCACTGCAAGGAAGCTCGCAAAATCGAGATCGGCAGGGACAATCTCTCGTGTGCATTGCTTCATAAATGGGACGAGCATGCCGCCCATCTTAGAACGGCAACCTGGTTCGCATTCTGCGTTTTCCTCGTTGACCAAATTCCTTCCGAAGGCGCAGGAAACTTCAAGTACACTAATACCTACCAAAGGGTCAACCAAACTGTGTGCACCTTCTCGCTCGAGCTACTCCGTTGGGCTCCACCCAACTTCGGCGCAACGCATAACCGTCTGCGGCATCTGTGGGACCGGGTGCTCCCAGAAATCCGTTCAAGGGCCCATAAGAACTGGGAGGACTTTGACGATTTTCATGTCTTTGTTGCTTATCTGCAGCAGGTCCAAGACTCCTTTTCAATCCGAAAACAGACAGCAAATCCGAGCCAACTCCTCCCACGAAAGAGTTTTCGCGTCGATGAGAGCTCTTGAGCATGAAATCTTGGATTCCTCCTCTTTTGGGGAAGAATTGAGACTTGTACAGAATTGAGGATTGCACAGTGGTGTTGTGAGTCGTGTTTTACAGTACATTCTTAATCCTCTGTAAACATAGGTAGGCAGAGCATAAGCGTCAACATTGCGTATCAAAGTGACAGAATAATCCCATGAGAACAAATCCTCCGAAAATAACAATTCGGCGCATGTGAGGGTCTCACGTATCTGCTGATGAGTAGCGTGTCTTTCGGATGAATGATCAATATTAACGAAAGCTATAGTCGACTCTAGATACAAAACGTAGCGCGAGGAAGCTGTCTTTTGCTTCCTGGGGAACCCAGATGCACCATGTGGGTCCGTTCCTCCACTTAGCGTGTATGTCTCATGTATATCCCTGACATGGAGAGCCAAGTTCCGAGGAGCTCCCCCCGGGTATTCCCAGGCACTGCCTCCACCCCACAATGGTGCTGGTGCTTGAAGCAATCCACTCTGGATGCAACGAGTCTAGAGTTTTTGATGTAGATCTCGTTCATACCTTCTTCCCTCAGTCTTATTTAAGTGACTGTGGCACCTGATCTATTATTTTGTTTCGAAAGCAGCTAGTCGAGGTTCTATCCAGAGAGGCTCAGGCGACTATACATCTCATTCGTCCACGAGAATCATCCTATACTAGGCTTTCCCGGTACTAGATATCTATTACAATGAGAAATTGCGCTGGCTGCGATCTGTTAGGTGTCAAAATTCTTGCACTTTCATCAACACCGATGTGAGGATTTGTCTTTCAGTTACTTTTGAATCAATAACAAGAATGACAAATCTCACATCATTCAGCGGTAACGCAACGGGAGTTAAGTGATGGAGAACGTGATGCATCTCTCGCTCTTATTCGTATCTTTCGATCACCAGGCGGGAAGATATACATTTTCTCTTCAACAACCATTGCATAAATTGCCTACATTGAGCAGACGGATTTTCTGCTTACCCGACCACCACTTCCGAAATACCCCGCGGTCTTCGCTTTTTGAACTCTTCAGCATCATCTGGGTATCTTTGTTTCTTTTACCCGGGTTGTCACTCTCACTTCGGAGTTGACTGCGGGTAGAACTTTGCCAGAGTTAAATGCAAGGCAAAGCGCGATTTAGGAATATGCTAAGTCCTTGCACACCCATGAGTCAAGCCAATTAGCTACTGTCAGAGGATCAATGTCAGATATCTGCAGCAATCTCGCAGCCATGGCATTGATTCTCTCGAAAAGCAAGCCTGTTGGGGCAAGGCTATGACTATTTTAGTGAAACGTGAGATGTTTCAAATAATAATCCTTCTTGCTAGACACTGAAAGATGCATCGACATGATGGGGGAGCCAAAACACGGAATTAAGCTTACCCTTTGACAAAATATCTGGCGCCTACTTCAACGATGTGACGTCTGGCTTGTAAGCGTTCCTGATAATTCGCGCTATTGAAAATATTTCAGCTTCAATGAGTATCCTCATGTATTTGTTTTGAATAAATCTGGTTGATGGCAAATTGAATCGTTTTGCGATACCTTGATGCCTAAGTCTGACACACAGACGCCAAGAGACCCATTGTTTCCGGACGATATGCGTTTTGGCTCCCTCCCAACGCCTTGTGGTAGGAAGTGAACGAGCCGAGACAAAAGGTAAGCGCGCGCTTACACATTTCGAAACATGTTTTTCTATTTTTGGAAGTCCAGGTAACAGAATCCCTCAATCATCATTTTAGCGCCCGGAATGATGTGTACTTGGTCAGCAGTTGCGATTGAATGCCTAAGCGTTTGAATTGGAATTGCAGCAGTCCTGCGCTCTATGCGCGATTTTAAGGATTTCAAAATATCAGAAAGCCTTAAATAGCAGTCTCTTTCCCCCTCCTTCATGCTTAAGAAACAACAGCTTTTTTTAACTTTGAAAAGTCTTTGCTAAAAGTGCCTTTCTTGATCCTTAGACTTATAATGTTTCGAACTGCCATTCTCGGCTATCCCCTCAAGGCCATCAGATGGTTCAGGGAAGATATCTATAAGAATAGTCCTGAGAAACGCAGAGAAGCCGAGACGGCCATCAAGAAGTTTTATGAGGCCAACAAAGACAACATGGAGAAACGAGGGGTCTCTGAAGCGATTGTCAAGTGAGTGCTTAGCTACATATGAGTCAAAAGGCGGCTTGCTTACCAATAAAGGGGAGCGAAGCATAATGATCCCAGGAACCCAGACCCCAAAGGAGAGCACTGGACTGTCGAGATGATCAAAGAAAATGGTGAATTTGTGACAAAGAGACATGTCTATTGACGTACGTTGGCTTCAATGTGCGGTTGGAAAGCACGCTGTGTTGCTTTATTCGCACGATGATGCTGTGATGCGTAAACCGCTTTCATTGTGGGGGAGGGGTTGGTTCTGTGCAACTGGAATACGTCTCATGTTCATATCTGTTGGTTTTATTGAATAATACATACCGATTTAGCCAAAAGGAGGCGGACACAGCCTGTCTTACAACTATATTACTGAGTCTGTGAGAGTGATCAGTAGTAAAAATGAACTTAATGAAGTTCCCTATGGTTTGGTTCGACGTATGGCTGCGGCTTAAACAACACAGAGAGTAGCAAATTAATAACCTTCCGAGAAGGCTTATGCGCAATACGCTTGATAAACACAAAGATATTCTTGATGAACAGAGACATCCAGTCTCATGGATACGACCGTGGAGATGAGCTCTTATCTAGCCGTAAACGGGGAACCCAGCGCGGTCTCTCACGAGAAGATCGGCCTTACCCATTTTACTCATTGCATTACACATTTGATTTGGATCTTAGATCTTCGTGCTATGTAAGACACCCAGCAGCTTAAATTACACGCGCTGGTACGCTTCACTAGTAACTAGTAAAGTACCTACCCATAGCGCTCCGATCTCACACACGGGAGTGGATGGGGTGGGTGGTTTGATTGATTGATTAATTTCTGGAGCTTTTGGCAGCTGCATGTAGCCCTCTAGCAAGTATTATCTGATATTTGATCCTATAAATTAGCCGAGGCGGGACTGAATCCTGTGACATTCTCCCTGTGCATCATCCCCTAACGTCAAAATAATGGTCACCAGGCGGCACGGCATGTCAGCGACTGCCTGGTCTTGTTTCTTTCCATTCCCTTGGATGCCCCATGATCGACGCCTGCTGTGGAATTATGACCCACGAGCTCTCTACGTAGTCCAATCCTATGCGCCAGAGTTGGAACACCCACCCTCTCATGGATTTCGAGAACTAGTAAAGACACTCTGGGTAACGCTTGACCACTGCGTCATACAGGCGGATGGATTTGGTTGATTGATTGATGTATTTCTCAGGCTTTTCACGACCTTGTGCTGTATGTAGCCTCCTAGCTTGTGTGCGCTGCAACGTTCAGTATGTACACGACATTCGTAGATCCTGTAAGACGAGAGTATTCCCAGACGACAATATTCCTACAGTATTGCTCTCAGGCGGTAGTGTTCACGGCACAGAATACAAGAACGACCCGGGTAGTCCGTAAAAACTGTGTCACATTGGCAAACGTCTCTCGACTCATAACCAGCTGCTTCTACCATGAGATAGCGCGGTAAGGTGGAGACAGCCCTTAGTTATTCCTTGCTTCCGCCAGCCGTTGTGAGTGTTGAGAACCGATGGGGAAAAAGGGGTGCGGGTTGAGGGGGTGAGGTTCAACCACAACACCTGCCTTTCACCTCCGTCCCTCTTCTTGGACAGAATTTGACTTCCCCTGGCAGAAAGACACGAACAACTGCGAAAGGGCTGGTCCCCAGCACCACGTAGAGGTGTCTGCCGTCGCAGGCGGATGGGGTGGCAGTGCTACGAATAGTTAACTAACTAATGCCTGGCACATATTATGTAAATATCTTGGCAAATATCACGTGACTGACGCGTCTAGGAACTTATAAGCGCTCGCGATCCCCCCCAGATCATTTATATTTCGTCTGACAGGCGGATCAAAAAAGTTCATGCCACAAATTCTGCACAAGAAATTTCAAGATGACGACTGCTTTCAAGAAAGCTTTGGCTCGGGTAAATTCTCGAACTTGGCTCGCAAAATTCTTCAAACCTGTTTCTCAAACATCCATATCTCCCAATCCACACCAGACAACAGAAGAGGCAGACTTTTATTCTACCGGAGGCTTCCATCCCGTATCGCTTGGAGACACTTTCAACTCTGGCACATACAAAGTGATGAGGAAGCTAGGCTACGGGCAGTATTCTACCGTCTGGTTAGCTAGGGATTCCAAGTGAGTGTAGTTCTCCACATTTGTCAAACGTGTAGCTTATCGAGTAACGAAGGGCTCAGAAGTATGTGGCGCTCAAAATCCTAAGAGCCGACTGCTACGGAGGATCGCATGACATATTCGAGCGAGAAATCCTCTCGAGGCTATCCGATATTTCCAGGAAAAGCGACCATGGAGGCCGACACCACGTGTTACCCCTTCTGGATCAATTCAAACACGAAGGGCCAAACGGACAACATGTATGCTTCGTGTTCGATGTGTTGGGTCACCACTTGGATTTTCAAACCGCAAAATACGAAGATGGGAGATTGCCTCTTAAGGCAGTAAAAATAATAGCGCGTCAGCTTTTACTAGGGTTGGATTTCCTCCATAGGGAGTGTGGAATCATTCATACCGGTATTGCTATGCGTTGCGAATCGCCTCTTACTCACTATAATAGTGCTAATTACGGTCGACACATAGATCTAAAACCCACGAATATACTACTCGAGCTGGAAACTCCAGAAGAAACTATTGAAAAATATCTATCAGAAATCCCTGCACGGGTCAGTCATGAACGTGGTGTCACCAAGCCACTCCGAGAGGTCATCAGGACACCGCTCATCTCGGAAATGCTTGAACCGCGCATCAGAATAGTTGACTTTGGTGTTGGTACGTACCGCGCGTCTAGTCGTTTCTTCGGATGACACTTACACTGATTGTAGCTTCTTGGTCAGACAACCACCTGTCGGATGTAGTCCAATCTCCAGCTTTACGAGCACCAGAAGTCACAATCGGTGCGCATTGGGATGCTAGTATTGATATCTGGAGCCTCGGTTGCCTTGTAGGTATTCAACCTACCTGCTCAAAATATGACAAGGTTGTCTTATATCACTAATTTTCAATAGGTTGTTGAGTTTGTTCAGGGGATAGTGCCTTTCTCTGGAGCGGCGTCAAAATACGGTTCGTGGACGGTTGATGATGACCGGCTTGCAAGGACAATCGAAATACTTGGTAATTTCCCGCCTGAGCTTCTTCGAAAAGGAAACAGGTCTGCGGAGTTCTTTAACACGAGTGGTATGCCCTCCTTTGAAGAAGGAAGTGCTAACGTCATATTTTCTCCATCTTGCTAATTTTATACAGGCGGCCTCCTTCGAATTTCAGATCTAAAACCGACGAGTCTTGAAAGGCTTATAGATGGCACTGAGCGGCCTTTCCTCAAACCCAACGACATGTCCGACGCTGAAACTCCCATATTCATCGATTTCCTTCGAGGTATGCTTACAATTGACCCGGCACATCGAAAGTCGGCCGCAGAGCTGCTGCAGCATGAATGGTTTAAAATGTAACTACTTCCAACTTCCAATTGGAGTGAAAAGATTTATTGTTATCTCAATACCACCTTTTATGATAAATCTTCTGCAACCCTAGAAATGGACCCCTGCAACTACCAGAGGAAATTCCCTCTTTCCCTTTGTCTCATTATCTTCCCAAGTGACCATCAAGCCGCCCTCCTAGGGCGTCAAAGTTATCTGGTGTGGCATGTACCGGAGTAGACGTCGGATATGCGCATATACCTCATCTCGGTGGTTCGAGGGGTCCTAGAGGCTCCAAACACCGAAGAGATGGGAAGGGATATGAGTTCTTCTACGATGTGGCCGCAAAATAAGGGCTCGTGCTTTCCACTTTCCTTTTTCGCACTGGGAAGAATCCAGTTCCGGCACGGCGTTCGCTGATGTATACCATTAAAGTCCAACCATCGGTGGTGGACCTTCAGTGTGCTTTGCTGGTGATTGTACACAACATCCGCCCTGCTTTCGAGCCCTTTCACATAAACCACTTGAATTCCCTGCATCGAATCCAGCAGGGCAAAGCATGCCCTCAGGGCCTTCCGCACAGTTCTAAAGAAGGTGGTGTCCGGGGGACTACAGATCTCCGCATTCTGGAATAGCTTCGAAAGCTCTTCTGCGGCGCTGCGGATAGGTGTAGTCGATCGCAGTAAGCGCCACAATTCTCGCGACAGCCTCATCGGCCTTTTTCCAATGGTTTCTCGTATCATCTTGACATCCTAGATTTGCGTTAGCCTGTGACAAGTGATACGTATATTTGACTTCCGACAAACCTGAGCTCCGGATGTTTCGCAATAGAAAAAGTCCTTGCCCTTGGACTCGTGTAGCAGATACGTCCAGATGCGGGATATCGTCGAGGGTAAGAGCAAATCAGCAGCCAGACTAACGTCCATCAGCGCTGGTGTCTTTCGGAGGAGGCTCACGTATATCGGAAGAAGGACGAGGACGTTCTCGTGCGTTTGAAGTGCGGACTCCCAGATCCGGCACACTCGCTCTGCCAGTCCATGCCGGTCCATTAGCCATCGCCGATCGCGATTGAATTTCCCCTTTGTAAAGTTATAACCAAGTTTGAACGGGTAAATCGAGCTTGTTCCAGATATTAGCACACCGTGGGCATAAATCCTACCAAGGAGATTTTGGTCAAAAAGCAGGTCCCCGTGGCTTGTCTCGACAACCGAGGACGGGTAGGAGATGCCACGAATATCCAGAGATATTTGCAGCCACTCAAGAACTTCTTCAGGTGCCACCGGCCGACCCTGGGTGGTGCGTCCGGGGCCGATGAGCACGGCAACATCGCGCCCGGGGTGGAAGCGCAGTCCAGCAAAATCTTCGGCCCAGTCCGTCCGGGTGGACCCAGATTGGCGCGATGGGGTGATGGTACAATGGAGGCGAGACTTGCATGGCTCCCGCAAATAGAAATTCCAGGAACACCAGCTGGCCGCCACTTGCAACCTATACCCATCCCGGGACAGAGCCACGGCTGCCAGCTTGAGTCCGTCGCCGTGGGAACCCGCCAGTTGGTTCTGGTCGCCCTTGGTAGTGAAGCCCAACTCGACAGCCTCGAAGGGCAATTGCAGGCAGGCGTTCGCCAAAGTGACCCGACTGGACTTTTTGTCATACTTGATGAATCCCAGGGATCGGCGGCCCTCGGGGTCCGCGGGGTCTGGTACCAAGACGGCATAGTGATCGTAGGCGTCGACGAAGTATGGCCGGAAGGCCATTCGATCGATCTGGAACCGTTCCAAGATGGCGTCCTTCCTGTTTTCTGATTTAGCGTCATGATCCGACGAGACGAAAAATACACAACTTACCAATTCTGATATAATTCCTGAAAGGCATCGGCAGAGGTCCAGTGACTCACGTAATGAGGCGAAACCCCGATCGAGACAATACGCCGCGAATGCGAAGCAGCTGGAGATGATCTTTGCTGGCACTGAAGGAGTTCGCGTTCAAGCTGCTGATTCGCGTCAGTCATTTGACAGCTTTCGTCGCTGGAGTCAATATCTATGCGGTCAGCCATCCTTTTGCAGTGGAGGTATCCCTGAGAATCTAGGCTCTTTGTCGACTTTTTTTATTCCGCTCGTCAGTGACTCTAGCGCACAGTCTAGTGCAGTAATTCATGGCCAGCTGAAAAACGGTAACCAACGTCATGATATCAAGATAGAATCAAGCAAAGGGTCTTGATGGGAGAACGATGATCAATCACCACCAATCGTGCGGCTGATTGCGACATCCCTTCCACCTGAGACATATGTATCATCCTGGGCCTTGCCACAGATCTGGCCATCGCCGCCTGGCTTCAAGGATGATATAAGGCCTTTGATCATATACGGATGTCTTCAGTCGTGGCCTTGCGACGATTCCGCATCGTCGATCAACATTACGCAACAGTGACACCCAAGTTGTCAACAAGCATTAACATCGTTCCAGAATTGGGGAGTGCATCAAGTAAGTTCAAATCATCCTGTTGAGATGAGTCCACGACACGCTGTTTCTGGCCGACTCTGCAGACTGACCGCGGTGGCACTCGTTTCACCTGTGTCACCAACGTTGACGAGGCAAATGATTTGTCACGCTTTATCTGGGCCAACCAGGGGCTTCTGGTGGGGTCAGCGCTTCCGTGAGTCAACCATCTCAATGCCCAGTGATGGTCCCTGCCAACACATCGCAGAATTTCCAACTTGAACGCGTGCACGAAGCAGGCCAATGCGAATAATGTTTACTTATTCTTAGAACTTTGCAATATGTGCCTCACCCGTCATCACATATCTTCAACCCCAAGCTACCGAATACTGTCGCACGCCCATGCTTCTATAAATTGAGATGATCTCTGCCCTGCTTAAAAATTCCAGTGACTTGCGCCACGTCATTAATCAAATGTCAGGAAAAATAGAAGAAAGTGACAACGAGCTTTTCGAGGTTCTATCCAATTACGGAGACCTCAGTATTGAAGATACGGACGACGATTCCACTACAGAGGAAGACCTTTCGGAAACAAGCGAAGATCGCAGGTTTGTGGCATCAGAGAGCGATGATGCCACGTATTCAGACGAAGAGTCGCTAGGATCTAGTCTCCCCTGCATCCACCACGCCATGGATGGTCACGAGACATCGAGCACCGTAAGTGTGTCCATGGGATTACTTTGGACTGTCGAGCTAACTGCAGCAACTAGGTCGGCAAAAAGATACCGATTAGCGCCATTGCCTCTCGGTTGATCTCCGAAGATGGGATTTCAACGATACAGTATTTGGTATTGTGGCAATCATGGGAGCAGGAGATACCGCTTGAGCATGATGTGAGCGAGGATGTGTCTTTTTCGCCCAGGTCGTGTATCTAAGACGAGAAAGCTTTGGTTTCTTTGCCACTTTTCGATATCAATTCTTCATCTCTACTTCTCTATGCAATACCGAGCCGAACACCCAGATTGAAGTCAGTTTCATCTCAGTGGATGGCAAGTCGGTCTGTCTCGCGTTTTCTTCTGAGCAGAATACAGTACCAATGGATAAAGTGCCTCGCTGAAGAATTCAAAGATCAGCTGTATTTGCTTCGGAGCTCAAATTCTTTGAAAGGAATCCATCTTCTAGAGTCTATCATCTGTAGGGTGGCGATAACAACCAGAATACCGCAGCAGTTCTGTCCAGGGACTTTAAAGCCCATCGAGCCCATTTCAAAATATTGCTTATACGAAATTCGTACGTGCACAAGTGTTGCGAGTCCCGGAAAAGCCATATTGGAGGAAAATATTTACGTCCGGTCCATGATTATGAACTTGGATATCCGCCTGTCTGGCTCTGTCACACAACTAAGAAATTTTTGAATCAAGGACGTCTCCGAAAGTATTCTGAAACCTTATCTTTCTGCATCCTTACGCAGAAAAAGGTGAATTCTGTTGGACAGGAAATGGCCCTCACTAGACACAGTAGCGTATTGTGTCTTCGTGATCATCTGAGTATCTTTATGTGAGACAGTTCGTTCTTTATAACAAAGACTCGGTTCTTTTTGAGGTGGCATGATTTATATGGATTGGCACCAACACAGGAAACCGAGGTACAGGGATCTTTCAAACCAATTCTACCAGTCAATTACCAGACTTTGGTCAGTGAAAGGATTGAGCCTGCCAGCCCAGCAAAGAAAAAAGCAAAATGTACCCCAAAAGCCCAGCCATAATCGAACCCACTATGCCGCATAAACCCCATGGGGTCTTGAACCTAAATGCTCCTTGGCTCTCAGCCGCCGGTGTAGCAGCCGTTTCTATGCCTGATTGCGGCTTCATAGGAGACGTGGCCAGAACTTTCTGGGTGGAGATTGAGGCGCTTAGTGCGCCCGGTGAATTTGATATTGTGGTCATAACTGGTATTGCCATCCAGTTGAGGTCTTTTGGGGCTAGTGTGGCGTGAACCGAAATCTTGTTGGTAGCATAGCAGGATGCGTACGTTGTTCCGGTAATATGACACGACAGGGACGCGGTGCTGCAATGATCCATTAGTATCAAAAGTACTTTGGGTGCATACGGGGTACCAACCTATTCTTTTTGTTGACATCCACCAGCTCTACGGAGTCCTTCTTAATGATAGCCGTCATTCCTGCTTCGGAAACGCCGCAGTCAGATGCAGCCACGGTTTGAGGGCAAGTCACAAGGAATGTTGTCGTTTCATTATCCTAGAATATAGTAAAGAAGTTAAATCAGAGTCTTGAATTCCAATGTCTCGCCATTTCCTCACATACGGTTGATAATATGCTCGCTTCCAATTCACGCCCTTGAAATCCGGGCAATAGGAGGCTGACTGTTTGTCCGAGAATTATTGTAGCTGCACCTAAAAAGAAAATGCAGTAAGAGAGTAACATATCCACTCAGAATTTGGCCGTCTCAAGCTTCGAAGGAAGACTGTTTCAAGTTCGGACACTCAATCTGTCAAATCAGAGGCTTGATATACTGCAGATAGCTGGGATGACGGACTATTGTATTATGACTGAAAAATCTTGATTTTTTCAGCAGGAGCCCCGCGAATCCCTAAAGACTTCTCTTGATAGACGAGAAAGCCGGAATTTATCAGTACGGTATTGTGGAAAACGTTTGTGGTTACCTGGGAAGATCCTGTTGAGTGACCTCAAACGACCAGTGATTAAAAGCTGTTATAATTGGTAGAACCGTTTTTGGGGTCTGCGAGTCCTTTGTTTCTTTCAGAGGTCCTTTGATAGGTTTCTTAAGATTCTCGGGGTTCAATCTGGTAACTTGGGCACCCCTTGAGCGGCCGCAAAATTGTAAACGGAGCGATACCACCGCAGTCAAAGGACGCATACAACTTCTACCAATGATTGTCTCTTCAGGTTGGTAGCCAACATTATTGTATTAATTTGATGGGAGCAACAAAATCTTGCGGCCTGTTAGCTATTGGAAAGTAAACAGATTCCCATTTAATTCCACGACAACTCATCACAAACAAGTCTTTACAGATACATTCGGTATGAGTTCTTTGGCCAAGTCAAGATTTTGATGACTATGTATAACATATTGAAATGGAGTATGTCCAAAAATTCCTGTAGCCTAGTTCGAAACGGAAGTATAAGTAGCTTTGCGCGCGTCGCAAAATGCCTGGTTTAAAGGGCAAGACAAATCCTGTTTTGATGAAAACCCCCATCTTCAGAAGCGAAAGAGAAATGCATCGTTTGCTTATTTTTTCTACACTCATCTCGGCGGTCTTTGGCGGAACGCTTCAGATCATTGACCATAATAATCAATGTTTCGTGTATTCCACGGAGAACTTCGACTGCACCGGGATCTCGGAGCCGTTTGCGCCTCTTGATGGCATATCATGTTCCCGTAAGCAATGCAATCTATTGACAAAAGAACAATATTTCTGACATCTTTGAGACCTCAACCCAGAAATCAAAGGCACACACTCCAATTCGTCGTCGTTTAAAGCCATGCTATGTCGCTCTGATCAGAATACCGCATGAGTTGAGGTACATCGAAGCGGCTTGATCAACTTCCATAATGAAGAAGGGGATGCAGCAAGTTGCAAGGTCGCGGAGGCCCTGCTTAAGGGAAGCTTGTGCACCGCCAGCAATAAATCAAGGTCTTCGACGAAAGGCATTGAATCCCAACTGACTTCTTCGTCTACCACAACCATCCATGTGTCAGTGACAGCACCATCGGCGGCCCCGACTACTTCCTCGGGCCCGAACAGCTCTTCGAACACGACAGATTGCTGAACACAAAAGTTTGCTTGATTTTCAAGCTTTTGCTAGGCTATGCTGCTTCTGTTCTATCAACTAAGTCTACCATTTGACTATGGAGCCCTAAGCCCAGCACGGATCTTTTCTTGCACCTCGCTGCCCAGGTTTCAAATTCATAATTTACAAGCAGTCTACCTTTTTAGCACAAAAATGAAATGAAATGGAATGGAATAAAATAAAATAAAAATTCGTTGTATGCCTGAAGTTTATATGAGAGTCCTGCACCTATTGAGATAACACGAATATTCAACCCAATGGATCTGACAAAAGGGAGCCAGAGTTTCAAAACACAAACTAGTTGATTGGTGTCTAATCTAATGCTGTTGTCTGCTTTTACTATAATTCCCGGGCAATAGGTCGATCATTTATTCATTGCCACTATATTTATCGGGATGGGCAACCTCTTTTGGGGTTTATGGTTCCAGAGAATGGTTCTAGAAACCGCTGAATTGATAGCATGGCTAGTATATCAATATTAACTGCATGCATCACACGCAAATTTCATTAAAATCTGGCTATAAATTATTTATTTGCAACCGGCGGCAGGCGAGGAAAATCCTTTTGGAGGCAAAAGCAAATTTATCTCACATCTTGGGGGAAATATTTCATACTTTAAGGCGGCCGGGACCTCAGACGCAAGCCATGAAATGGAAGGGGTGGTCATTGCGGAACATAAACATCATCTTCTAGGTTAAAGATTTGGATCTTCTCGATATTCGAAAGCTGGCCAGCCCTCCAATGTCAATCGACCGCGAAACTTAGGGCTGTAGGCAGGACTCGTATTGTCAAGGGTTGCCACATAGCGGTTGCGACCGCCCATTTTCGTATGTGTCAGGTAGTGAGCCTTCAGATTATCCGAGCGTTTGAAGCTGCGATGACACTCTGGCACCCAGCATACGTACGGCCTTTCATCTGAGTGGCATATCAGATGTCTCTCGAGGGCTTTTCGGCGCCTGAATTGGCGGTCACAGCCCGGGTATGTGCATTCGAACTGCCGCTGGGGTATTTTGTGTGGCAATTTCCGGAAGCTCCAGTCCGGAGGTACCTGAGAGGAAGAAAGAGATGCGGCGTTTGTAGGCCCTAGAGAAACTGGGCTCGTTGTAAGCACTTCATTGCTGCCAAGTCGCATAGAACAGGGGTTGCAGGCAGGGGCCACCTTTGCCTCAAAGGTATGAGGCTTGGAGAATGGCTCCGATGGACTGAAAGGATACGAATGTGGCATATTTTCAAGCCAGTAAATGACAGGGATCGGCTCGTAATGGATGAAGCCAGGATCGGAAACGTGTCCTGGTCGTTGAAAGCCGCAACCGAAGAGATCATTCCGATGAATCTACCGCATGGTATCTCCTGAATTAAACATCCCAAGCGACGGTTGTGGAAAGGCCACACAGATAGGACGTGTTATGAAGCAATTTTCGGGAATCAAGGGCCATTGGTCGTTCGACTCGTTCATGATTGATCTTTGACTCAAAGAATGCGAATTCATTTGGAAACAATCGTTCGGGAATTGCACGCAAGGGGTATCGCGTTGTGACTGTTGGCTGCTTTGTACAGAGTAGAAGAAAGCGAAATACGACAGTGGCGATTGCATAATCCAAACGCCAATCTGCGACGGGAGAGGTTTGGGCGGCAAAATTCTGAGTGTGTGATAGACTGAGGCCGCCAGTAGCTTGATACAAACGGCGAGCAGATATACAAAAGAAAACGTCGATATGCAAATCGGCGGAAGTAGGGACATTTTCCTCTTTCTTTCCTGGAAGATTTTTGACAACGTCCAGTTGGTTCAATTTACAAGTATAGCAAAAATATGTTTGAGCAACATCTCATTTATCACTGTTTCAACGGCTGAAGTGTCGGTGATGATTCCAGGCCGAGACAACCAAAGCTTATTCCGACTGTGTCACTTTTAAACTTTTCTCTTGCACGAATTTCTTCATGTTTGTCAGTAATTACCAAGTTAACGTTGCTCCACTTCTTTCAAACTGTGTTATTTGTTGACCACATATTCCTTGCTAATAAAAGCTTGGTGATAACAACATCATCAAGTGTTGAGCATTATGGAGAACCGACTGCTGGCTTTATCGGTCTTTGTGGCTATAAATTAGATGAAATGGAGCTTAAGCTATCCATACTACGTATATCCAAATTCTTGAATACATTACTTTGAACATAGAAATGTATCCTTTTACTGTGTGCCACGACATACAAGCGGATGGAAAGACCGATTCCGATTCAAATGCAGGCCCAGATGAGTGACTGAACCCGGAATTGACAGCTGAAGGAATTCCTACTCAGGTAAGGATTATTTTAACCTCTAATGTCATGCACGATGCTAATCAACGCAGCCGGTCTTCCAGCGGCCAGCCGACAATGAACAAACTTCAGCAGCAGAACCCTTCCAGCCGATACTACAGCTTCTTGCAGAGCTTGAACGGGATGATCCAAAGCTCGCCTTTCAAGCAGCTCGAATCTTGGGACTCTACCGACGACTTTGGGATTCATGCATGTCGAAACATACTGGCATTGAGAGGCTCGTACAAACCAACCAGGAGTTGAAAGGGGAGAATACACGATTGGAAAATGAAAAGGGGCTGCTTCTGGCTCATCATGGCGAGCAGCTTTCTCAGTTTGATCACCTAAATCAAGTTTTGGAGGCATCTCGGGGGCGATTGATCAGCATTCTCAATGATTGGGAGCAGTGCTCGGAAGGCGAAGTGGCAGGGCTGATGAGTTGCGAGCGAGGTCAGTGATAGAATCCTGGTCAATTTATCTTCCACTGTACCTGCTAGATAGTCAAGTAAATTGTGGTGTTTATCCAATTTTATGTTTCGCCTCTCGATATTCAAAGTCGGATCCATTCGACCTCACACGTCACAGTATATCATAAAGTAACTGATCACATCTGGAGATAGCCAAAAATATAGGATGGGCGGTCAAGTCGATAAAAGTTGCAAGGATCGCCTTAAGCATATGTTTGAGCTGTAAGAAGAAAATCATGCTATTCATGTTTGCCGACGGAAGACGCAGCTTTATGAAAAAAGAAACCATACATTGATAAGAAATCTCATTAGTACTAAATATAGGTAGCTCATAGGTGGCTGAGAATTGAGGTTATGGAAGCTATTTAAGAAAATAACACAAGACAGCGATTGAGGGGTCGTATAACTTCACCTTGCTTCACATACATGGCAAATCACATTTCCGTGGAAGTTCCAGCTGAAGTTGGACTATCGAAAAGAATAAATATTTTTAAACGGACAAGTATGTATGGCTCCATGCGTGAATCAAGATCTCTGAATGTGATAGTAAGGTAGGTCGATGTTTTGCAAGGCCGACAGGACATTCCCGTGGAATGCCTTCACAGTGCTTTTTCGACTCTCTAACGCCACTGCCTGTCGGTTGCAGCACTGGAGGAGACTATCAGTTTCTTCTTCCAGCAATCCGTTTAACTCGCATATCTGGCGCCTCTCATCTTCAAGCCGGATACAGGTAGATTCGAAATTGCCTTCCACGATTTACACATAGAAATTTGTTCTAGAACCCTTAGTCAAGACATGCCATTCCGATTCTGGCTA